TAGCATTTTAATACTTAGTTTGTCAGGACCGACCGCATCAGATTTTATGCTCAGTAGCGACTTATATACTTCAAATTCATTGGTGACATGGAAAGGGAATGTGGCCTGTTGTTTTCTGTTTTCTCTGAAAAATGAAATGATTTCTTCATCAGGTAACAAGTTGTTATTGTTGATGCTGCAGAAATAATCATTGATTTGATTTACATCAGATTGATAATCAGGAATAGTTGTATTTGATTTTTTATTGTGAATGTTTAGGTCTGCTAACCCTTTCCAAATTTGTTTTCCATACCTGAAGCTATATTCCAAGTATGCCTTTTTCTCAAGGTTTATAGTTTTATTCGTGAGATTTCTCAAATCCTTATAGTAGGTCCAGTGATGTATATTGTTAGTTTTTTTATTTCTGACAGTGACATTATAAGCTTATATCGTCATAGTTACGATATCTATTATGAGGGTCATAACTCCCTTGGGATGTTATAGATGCTATAATTCCCTCTAAATAAAATTAAATAAGAAATGCATAGCAACAACCACGCAGTAACGTAGCAATAAGGAATCTCCTATTCGCGGTAGTCAAGATCATCATCTGACGTTCTGATGACATTGAAACTATACGGAAAAACATGTCTAAGTTCCAATCGGGAAGGTATCTAATGAATGAAATCAGTCAGAAATAAAATTATCTATGTATCACGGGAATTACTGAGCCTCAATAACCTCAGGCAATTGCTGTCCCTCGGGCCAGAGGCCCTCGGGACGCAAACTTTGCCATCGGTAATTAAGGCCCTCATAATTCCCTTGATACATAAATAACTATTTATATCTTATCAGAGCTTTATCTCTCAGTTTCATCATCAATTTCAAATTATCGGTTAGCCAAGGAGATTTTCTTTTTGAAATTTTCACCGTTTTCACTGGTGCATGGATATTAAAAACACGAAGAATATTAGAATTGAGGAAATCAACTTTATCATTTATATCGGGTATGTTATAAATTCTATTGAAATCAATATCAGCCAAGTCATTATCGAAATCAGATTGGTTAAACCGTTTAAAATCTCTGAAACTGTATAGGAAACTCGGAGTCCCCGTTTTTGAGCAACCTACTTTACAAGATACGAGTCGATGGTCGGTAAATGTACTACAGTCGGCTGTAGCACAGTCGCTTACATTCAAATTTTCAGAGCATATTATGAGATCTAGTAGCGTGCTACTAGTTGCACTAACCCGCGTCGGTTCGTCAATTAGTTGCTTTAATCCGAAAGAATCTAAGACATTATGTAAGCTAGTGCACGATGCACTCGTTGGATCAATATAATCTATGTTGAGATCACCAACACATATGAGATTATCGAATTTTGGACTGAGAAAAGACAGACACTCCTCAAACTCTGACAAAAATTCAGGAACAGGAAAATTTGGAGGTCTATACAGAATCGCAAAGGCAAACTTCACTTTGTGGTGTTCAAATGAAAACCATAATTGTTCCGTGGTTCTGATGTTCAAATCATTAATTAAACAGCCCCTGATGGAATTTTTTATGTAAACAGCTATACCTCCACCTCGACCCCCACCACTTCTGTCTTTCCTCAATAGTGTGTAACCTGACAATACAACAGTACTACTGAGTATGTCTTTGTTCAACCAAGTTTCTGAAACAGTTATTATATCAAAAATGTTGAAAGTTTTCTGTTTGAATTCAGCAAAGCCATTTACAATCGATCTTGTGTTGATGTGACATACAGTGAAGCCTGATGGCATTATCGACACGCAATGTTAATGAGCAAGATGAGGAATAAAGAAAATAATTATTTTAGCGTAGTTGAAATAGGTAATTACATAAATTGGATATGAAGTTGTTACAGATATTATAGAGGAAAGTATCAAATATATAAATAATACAAGGTTAGTAATGGCTTATAATTTCTCTGGATTCTTGACTGCTCGTGCTCGACTTTCTCTAATAGGTCGTTTTGCTTCAGATTCAAGTGGAGAAGATAAATCTTTCCTCTTTCGTTCTTCCGCACCCGTGCTTGAGGTTGTATCCAGTATTGCCGAATCCAATTGTAGTTCTTCAAGTGTGTATTTATTATTGTCAACTAGCAGAAAATTTTGTTTTATAGTTGCCCGCGATCCGTTCTGCTTAGCTTTGTTCAGATATGGCCGAAGACCTTTATTTATAGCTTGATCTTCCTTACTCAAATCATTGGAGATGAAAATATTCGTGTTTTTCAATTTATGAGCGTTTCTCAACACTTCGCTCTTCTTTTTCATAAATGATAGAAATTCAACTTTCAATAATTTCTTACTGCCTCTAGTTGGAATGAAAAATACGTTATTTATATCACAATCGTTGATTTGTACTCCCGTCCTCTCGCTTAAAGTAGTAAGGCCTTCGAACTCATCAACAGACTCCAATCCAAAAACAATGATATTATTCTTGCGAAAATTGCGGTCCAGTTGACAGATTTTCTTCTTGATATCAGAGTTCTCCTGCTCCAATAACGATATTTTATCTTTGGCAGCCGTTAATTCCGCTTTAATTTCAGATAATGTCTCCTGTGTCTTGTCAGATTTTGAATTCAGCGAGATGAGTAAGGCATGTAAATCTCCCAGTATTATTTCATTCGGCATTTTGATATACAACACGTTTAAAGTATACCGACCGTACTAACAGTGAATCTACGAAGGTAGATAACGTTTTTCGTTAGCTGGGTTTTTTGTTGAGGAATTTTTTGTCTCTTACACTTTGTGGTTCTTCACTTTCAATAAATTATTGCACTATTTGGAATGCATTTATATGCAAACAACACTTTGATTATCAGTTGCAAGTATGTTGACTTACTGACTTACTCACCAACTCTTTAGTGACATTCAGGCGTACATTTTATATTATTCGGTATGTTAATAACTACACTAACAGTGATTGAAGACGGGAGGCAACACCAGCACACCTGTTCACTCTCAAGACTCAAATGATAATATACGCTTCAAAAAACCTGACTTTCAATTGGAAGGCATTTGACCTTGCCCAAAAATGTTTTCAACTGCGGTGCATTCTTTTGCAACTAAGTAACCTATTTCTTATGAAATATTTTACCAGCCCTACACCCTTCCTCCGCCCCGAAAGAACTTCCGCTATCCACTCTAGTAACGTCTCTATGTGAAAATATTTACTCATTTCAAAATCAAGTTGATGTTCATCGGAAAATGGAAGAGGTGAGTGAATAATACATCTAAAGCTGGAAGAAGGAAAATATTTTGTGCTATTTCCATGGTAAAATGATCAGCTGAGTGTGAACAATTCGTGAAAGCAAGCAAGCAAGCGGTTAACCTTATGATCATCTACAAATATAGGTATTATGTACCAAATTCAAACTTTTTTGGAGAGAGGGAAAAGCCTCGAAAGATAACTACCAATAGCTAGAGTCACTGGATGGTATTAGTTTGATAAGAGTTTGGACACAGCTGAACTTTTGTCCTTTTCTATTTTCTATAATACAATGGTTTGAGTGAATAAAAGAATAAGATATCTATTCTGCTCTTTGTCTTTTCGATTTCCCTAGTAGCGCCTGCTTGTCAGATACGATTTTAGAGGTTACATTTTCTGTCAAATCAATCATAGCTGTAGATGGACAATGGAAATAGGGTATAAACACCCACCTCAATTTGTAGTGATACACTTCTAGCAGAACAACTGTTATATAAATGGAAAGAATGCATACAAATATGGATAAACTTATAACTATAATTCCTTATTATTCGTGAAACTGTACTCCAGTGTTAAGTATGAAACTGTTAAACTTCGAATTTGGTCGGTACCAAAAACGCCATTCAATAATATATCACGTTGTAGTTTACTTGCTTTCCTTAGTTTCGTTTTCAAATTTTCAATTTCATTATGTAATTTTGCAATAAATTCCGTTTTTTCCATGATTATTTTATTTTGTATCTTGTCTGGTGGTGATAATAATGTGATTTTGTTCTTGAAATCGTATGGTTTGTAAATTGATGGAACAGCAGATTCTCTCAAACAGATTTTGAAATCTTCTGTTTGAAAATTGGCCTTAAATATAGTTTCATTGTAATCAGATGCTGTTATAAAAAGTGAATTCTAATTAGTACCTCACAAATTTCGCTCGTCTTCAAATTGATTTTCCACCCAGGCCGTTTCATATCTTACTTCCATTAGCGAATGGTTGATATTTGTTTAGGAAAATAGGATAAATGATATCCATTTTTTTCAGAATTGCCACAATTCATTACACAGCAAGTCATTTCCATAATTGCTTCCTTCTCGAAAGTATAATTTTGAAATTTATTTCAATTGTCACGTTTATAAAATTTATTGTCAAATTCAAACAATTTTGAATGAAAATGCGCGGGACGACTATGGTGCTCTTGTCACAATGCAAGGTGTGTAACTTAATAAATCTAAACATTGAAAAACCCCAACAGTTGTCATTTCTGTGTCCGAACTCTTATCAAACTAATACCATCCAGTGACTCTACCAATAGCTAGGCCAGATATTTGGGAGAAAAAGGCATTACTGCGGATTTTGTATACATTGCATGTACTTTCTGACCAAATACTCTTGGTCAGTGTGTATTAAATAAATAAACTACACACTTAGATCATAGAAATTTCTTTTCGTGCACTCCAAGAGATAAAAAAGTAACCAGAATGTTCAGTGGATACTTAGGTACCAAAAATGATTGTGAATGAGAATGGACTATTACATAATGTGATAATGTTTATTCCTAACAAACTAGTAGATACACTATAAATGAATGGTATGATGACCAAGATATATTATAACTGATTATGTTACTTTGCAAACAGGTAGGTAATTTTTCATTTGGTCGTCATTTTGGTAACCATATAAAATATTCATTGGTAACTTTATTGGTAATAATAAGCGATGTGGCAGGTTATATGTTATGGTTTGAAAACAAATTGTTTTCGAATATTTGAACAAGTTGCTGGATGTACTCACTTATACAGCATACCCCTATTCCGCTGGCACAGCTGGTAGATCCGATCCCGTCAAATTCGGAGCATTGTCTCCTCCTGTAACAACTTCCCATAAGACCACTAGAACCAGTACAAATGCTGTTTTCGAATCTCACCAACCCCACTCCAAATCCATAATAAGGAAAGAATTCTGTGGAATAACGAAGACTAATTTTTTCAACATGAATGATGAAATGAAAAAAATATCACAATAGACTTACAGGGTATCCCATAATTAGCGTGCAATACTTTGGCAGAAGATTCGACGTGCAACAATAGAAAAAAAAGTTCGACAGACCATGGTTCGAAAAGTATGACTCCTGAGGGAGCTATTGTCTCTAGAAAATGCTCTCCGTAAAATTACTTATTGTCATTTTCTCTTATATGCTTTTTGCATATATGTTGCACACAATTTTTTTTTGTAGGATCGAATTGAATTTATTTTCGTTTCAAATTTTATTGAAGAGTACTTTACAATACAAGGAATATTAATATAATTCCTAAAATAGGTCTACAAGAACTCTAGTTATATTCTTGGGATATTTCAATATCGCCGCTACAGCAATTTAGTGAGGTGTACCTCATGGCCAACCTTCGATGTCAGTAATTTGTTTTATATATCAAACAGTATAATGTATCAATGAATACTTAAAGGTAACCATGCATAATGTTACCATAGTTTCTTATGTAAACCGAAATTTAAAAGAATATATCTTAAGATTAAAGTCGTTATCAATAGGAAATTGAAGTCTTTTTGCACAATGAAGGGTGCTTCAACGTAGAAAATTTAAAAACAAAATATTGTTCAAAAATCATTTGGTACAGGTATATTGGAACTTATGTACTGAATTCCTGTATTGTATTTAGAGTCCATGAATGGTTTATTGTTGCGATCACCCCCAAATCTTCTGAAAAGTTTTTTTCTCTCCATAATATATAGCTTATTTATACGGCTGATGATGGATACTAAGATTTCAAAACATGTATCATTCAAACATATGAACAAATGTTGATAAATATTGTGGAGATGGCACAAGAGCTTAAAGGATTAACAGATAATTTTATAAAAATGAACGAATCATCGTCAGATTCGAATAAACTACAACAATTCTAGAAGTATTAATGACAATATCTTTCTAATGAAGTACTTATAGGCAGTTAGGGGGCACCATGATTTTATGGTATCGAATTGAAATTGATACTTTTCGTGAAGTTGGTGTTTGAATTAGACACTTTCAAATGGAACACCTTCGGTTTAGCATAACCTTTCTCCGTTAATCTCAAAATATGTCGACCATCTCTGTGCCAACACTCGTTTGTCTAGAAAACGGCATTCTGAGCATAGCGAATTATTCTGAGGAACTTTTAAGACCTATCCAAAAGTTTAGTGAAACGAAACAATAAGTTGAGTTTACTTCCTGTTACGGGTTATACCAATCAATTATTATTATTATACTATCACAAATAATGAGTAACCTGATAAGTAAGTAGAAGTAAAATACTATAACCGGAGGTTCAATGGGTAGTGCTGTTTCATTCGCCCCATTGGATAGGCAAAAAAATAAATTCAGACTGATAAATTTCAATTCGGTACCTCAAAAATGTCCAGAGATATATGGGAGTAAGTAGTACTTTGAGTAGACATTTCAATACTAACGTCTTGAACTTCTTTCGATCGCACTAGCATTTCTGCTGTTGGAATCATCAGAATCCAGCACTGCACTCACATTTTTTAATGAAAAATAAATAAGAGTTACAAGTACTCCATATATAAGATTATTTGGCTCACTCATCTTCGTTGTGAAGAGATTATATTAAAACATTCGATATTTTGGAACCTATAGGTAGGTATGTACTTACCAACAAGATAGATAATTAGCACATAGCAGTTTTTTATATTTGTTTAACGGTACACTAACGAAATATACGGATTATATAGCGGTTCAGGAACATTATTTGGACTATGCAACGAAAATTGTGCTAAAAAGTTTGGAATACCGCCTGTGCTGCCTATAGGAACATTCAAGATTTTACATACCAGGATTACAGGGTGACCCGCCATGGCTATAAATACATTTCGGTTGGTGAAATTTTCATTTCATGGATTCAAATATATCCAAATTCACGTGATACAATGTACGAGTATATTCACCTACGTGAACGTATATTAGGACTAATTCGTATGATGAATATCATTTCTGATAGAACCAGAGTTATAGCAACATTTGTGACCCTGTAATTTTTCGTGTGAGAATTGTTAAGAAATAATAGTTGGAGGCGGAAGGAACTAGTTGCCTGCCCGCCAGATCAAATCAAACAGTTAGTTCAATTCATCTAGGTTCCAATTCTAGAGCAGCTTGTTCGAGTTTTTTGAAAGCACATGGGTATCCACCATAAATTCCTCCCCTAATTTTTTCATAAATATATTTGGCAATTTCTAAAAGCCAGCATTTAGGACTTTTCTCAATTATCCTCAGAGTGTTCTAATGAATAATTGTGCAAAAGAAATAAGAGATCAAAACAATAAAATAGTTATTTATGTACCAAGGACGAAAAACTGTCTATTGAAGCCGAGACTGCAGATTGATAGCCGAGGCCTCAGCAGAGGTTAGCAATAATCAGGCGAGACAATAGACAGTTGCATATTACATTTTTTCGTCGACCTCAAACTCTTATCCACATCACGGTCCTATTCATTCGAGAAATCTATCGGATTTCGTGAATAATTAATTTGACAACAGCAAATGACAGTTTTGTTGTCAACTCACTCTCCGCGCGGACCAGGGTTGCCAGTTTGATTTTTCAGTAAATACCTTGTCGAAAATTCGGATCTATGTTTATGCTATACGAATTCCAAGAAAAGATAATGAAATAAGCCTATGACGTCAAAACATTATGTACTTTTAGTAAACAGAAAAGTAACCTATTTCCAAAATTCGGATCTATTTTATGCTATACGAATTCCAAGAGAAGGATAATGAAATAAGCCTATGACGACAAAACATTATGTATACTTTTAGTAAACAGAAAAGTAATCCATTTCCAACAAGATAGAAACAAACGAAACAAACATTCTCATACAAAAATAATCAAATTCCTAATTCTGAATTCAAAAATACTCACGAATATTACAAAATACAGTTACATAGGTATATGTACTTATAAGATTTGAGTATATAAAAAACGGGAACGAATAGTTAAAATGAACAAAAATACAAAACAAATGATCAAATTAAACACCAAAAACCATAAAGTTTTGTTCTTTTTTGATTTATACCTGATCATTAGTACCTTTATTTGCATTTATAACTTATTTTGTAAAATTAATTTCAACAGAGCGTGCAGAAGCATCATGCAAATTATAAGTGTATGTGATAAACTAAAGATTAATAAGCAACCGTGCAGCGGACGAAAAGTTAGTGTCTGTAGACCGAAAAGTACTTGCCTTCGGAAATAGTCGGTTTTCCGTTCGGAAATTAAAACGTAAAATGTGATTTTTTGTAGAGGTCGACGGAAAAATAATATTTTCAATGGAATATGCATACTGGGTGTTTTTGAAATTGGGACAATAAATAAAATGAGGTGTCCTATGATATAATGACAGGATAAATCGGAAAATAAAATATTTTGAATATTTATCAAAAATTGTGCGCTTCCACCATACAACATATCTGAACTATCATTGAAGATTGCACAAAATATTGATACTTCCGGTGCTTGTGATCTCGCCGAAAGCAAACGCTTGGGTTGGGCTATTATATAACCTCTGATCAATGATTTAAAAAACTTTCAGACAAACTTTGAAGCTCGATTCATTCCAAAAATGGTATTTCTTCGACTCGTACACCCTGTATTCATATACAATAAACCAGAAGTGTCCCAACTCTATTTTTATAGACGCATTTTCTCGAGAACGGATGACATTATCAAGGTTCTTAAAAACGAACTCAAAATAAGAAATAGTTCTGCACAAAAATTAGTCATTAAAACTACTCCTCGATAAACCACCCCTTAGCACATACCATAACTTTATTTTTAAATTACACCTTCATATTATTATGGCATGTTTGAGTAGCTTATTAGTTAACGAATAAAATGATGTATTACACCAGATAACCCTAGATAACGTCAAATCAACAACTCACATTAGCATATCACATTCGTAATTTCGTCTACCATTATCATAATTCTAATAGTCCAAAAGCGGGCTGCAAATTTCGACCGTCATCTGATAACGAAATGTCCCAAAGGCATGTAAAACCATTGTAGTTTATCGAACAGCACCTATGGCAATCACTATCTTGAGCAAAATGATTGAAAAATTGCACTTTCCTATGCGGACATTTGCGCTCGATTTCGCGATTTGATAACGAGATAAGAATTAGGGGATGATGTCGCCTTTGCGAATATCCAAACGTGTCGCGTCTCAAACTGATACGTCAATACTTCCCAGAATATTTCGCCCCCCTCCGAAGATAATATCCGATGGACCAGTGTGAAACTCAACACGTGGATTATAATACTTGTAGTGTGAGCACCACATGAGATTCACACTGGTGCATCGGATATTATCTTTCGAAGAGGGCGAAATAGTCATGGTAATATTGACGCTCTGCCACTAACTTAGATCAGTTTGATGGCGGCACGTTTGAATATCCGCAAAAGGGACATATTTCCCTTCCACTTGATTTTTGTTTCAACTCGTTATTACATGACGGAAGAATGTCCGGAATAATATAGGATCAAATGAATAATTTTTTTCAACAGTTCTCAAATATATAACATGTTTTTTTGTTCATGAGAATTTCACCATTTATACGTTTTTGATATCTAATGAATTGAATGTATTATAAAAAGTTTGTTATTGTTAATGAAGTAAATACATCTAAAAACTCATTTCACGTACAAATCTGAAAAAATCCTAATGTTTGTTTACTCGTGTTTCTAATAATGGAGTCCCACCTGGGTGATAATGATTTTACACCTTTGTGACGCCGATTTAATGAGCCATTTCAAGCACACTGACATTCTGGGGCAAATCATCTGATTGTCCTTATCATAGGTGAATTGAAATGCTAATATTTTTATTTACAAAGACGAGGAGAGAAAACTCCGGAAATCTAGAGAAATGATATTGGATTCAATTCAATTCAATATTTATTGCTTCCAAAAACGAAAGTTTTACAGCAAGAGTTTGAGGTTTTGACATAATATTTATAATGAGGCTATATCTTATTCCTATGGAAAGTGGTTGTCTATAAGAAAGAGGATACACACGGCGTGTCCAGAATACAACATTGCCTAGCCCTAAAGGATACAGAGGTGGCTAGAAATACAATAAAATAGTATTATGTTCAACAAGCACGAAACGATAGACATCTTCCGCGAGAATGAAGTCATACGAGCAAGAAATTTGCAGTCCGTGCGTGTCACACACCGTACTACTTGAGGTTTTCGGTGGAGGCTTTTGATACTAGGACACATTCTGCTTCAGGGCGCAAGAACTTAACACTTTATACGCAGATATACAATTTGGAGATTCTTTTAGCTCTGATGTGAGCCATGTCTCACAAACACACAGTATATCAAAGTCCTTGAAGTTACGGCAGAAGTCTTCCACATTACCGTACCCATGGCAGTTCCAAAATATGATTTTCAGTGATTGCTATTGAGAAGAGCCGGCGAGGGGCGATTTGCTGATCTTCAGGTCACGCTTAGGTGAGTCCTCTCCGTCTCTATTCCTTTCGTTTGCATTTTTTTCCGGTTCAAGTGGGACAATTCTTGGAATTTTATCTATATACTTTATAGTTAGTTGGGACCCTTCTTCTTGGGATCTCGACACCATTTCTTCTCTCAGTTCTTTTAAGTGCTTTAATTATTGAGGTGTCATATCGGATTTTATTTTAATGTTGGGGTATAAATTCCGTGGTGTCATTCTTTTTCCTTAAAATTTCAACTGCATTATCAGGCGAACTAAGGGTGAGTTTGTATGGACGAGTCTTGTTGGGTGCTAGTTTCCCAATGCGGTTACCAGATTTGATGTAATTTTTGACATCAGGTGCAATGGAGTCGATAATACTCCTGACGGCTACAGTATCATTATGTGAATCTTTGTTTTCAGGCATACCTAAGATAATCACATTTTTCTCGCGCCTCAATCGCTCACTCGTTTCAACGTGAAACTCGTCAATTGAGACATTGATGGCTTTGTTATCTAGTTTATGCTCGAGAGTACTAATTTTGTCTTTCAGAATGGCATTTTCCTCGCGCAGATTTGAGATATCCGATACGCAGATTGCTATGGAAGAGGCTTGTATCATTATAGTTTTGTTGAGCCCTTCTATTTTATCATTGCATGAGCTGATTCCGTTCGAGACAGTGGCTAATTGTGCCATTAGCGCATTAAAATGGGTCGTATTCAGCGGTGAAGAGTTGGTGCACTTTGGACATGTCCAGGTCGCGGAGACATCGCCTTTTAGTGTCGAGGGCTCCAGCCGAGCGCACTCTCGATGGAAAGGCGCTTGACATACTGAACATCGTAGGTAATTATTATTGCCAGCGATCAACGTGGATTTTAGGCAGATTTGACAATTAGCTGGAGGGGGCATGATACTGCTGGTAGGAGGCCTGCACAGATTTAATAGCTGTACACCGGATCAAGGTTATATCTGTTTATATGCACTAATATGACACTAATTAACGTAATACAGGGCCACTAGCACTGAATTCTCAACTATAGGCAACTGTCTGGACTCACTCAGAGGGATTAGCTGCAGTTGACATTACTCACGCACCTTTAGACACCACTTTCAAGGAATCTATCGACGAGCTATAAAATGCACGTGCTGCCAGCGCGAAGCGACAACTCAAACCCATCTAGAGAAATGATATTGGACCTCCTCGATTAACCTAAAAACAGTATTCAGGAACTATCCTCACTACATTTTTTCACCACTAAGGGTCTATTTAGTCAACTCTGTCCTCGTCTCAGTCTCAGTCCTTGTTCTAATTTCAGTCCTTAAACCAAGTTGATTCTACACATTCGCATAAGAGCATTTATACAACAGTATTTGTCACAATCTCAAGTCTCAGTCCTAAAAACGTGACCTTGAGATTTCCCAATTTTCAACTTTTATGCTTAGGACTAAGACCATGACGTCAGTGCGCATGCTCAGTGCGTGCATGGCATTATTGACAAACGACAACTTTCTTCATTCTGGTATTTTGTATACAAACCAGTAGTGATTAATGCTTGATTATTGAAGGAATCCATTTTTTTCACTTTAGAAAATATCAACAATGAAATTCAGAAGAATGAAAAAAGTTTCGTCATATGTCCGACATTTATGTCACTGCCATTTGTGTCAATTTGTCGAAGTCCTAAGTCCTAATATCTAGAGTTGTATAAATAGTCATATCCTTATTCTTAAAGATAAAGACTGAGACTAGAACTGAGACTGAGACTTGAGACGAAGACAAAGTTGACTAAATAGACTCTATGCAAACCGATTTTTCAACCATTCGACACGTGTTTCGCTAACTATGTTAGCATCTTCATCAGAGAGTTTTGATCTTCTTCTGAAGATGCTAGCATAGTAGTTAGCAAAGCACGTGTCGAGGCGAGGAAAACTGGTTTGGCACTGGTAAAACAGTACAATGTGATTATCATGCAGAAGGTCTTCGATAGAGGAACAATTCTGTTGTACATACCCTTTAAATTGATAGTCAACAGCCTCCATTATGGTCTTGAGAGAAATATCCTTGTCCAAGCTTGACTCATTTCGACACTTTGTTATTATGATAATTATAATAATCTTTAGTATAATTAATTAAACTTTGATCCAGTCACGACTCTGTGGTTGTTAAGAATTGTGCCTGATAGTTATAAAAATGTAGGTATTTTGGAAATTGATTTGGTCACCACACTGCAGTCTTCGAGAAGATTTTGTAGTGTTCGAAGAGCAGCCATCTATATTTTGTTCGCTTCTACTACTCTTTCAAGCCGAATTTCGTCAATGGTGGTCAAAGAGATCATGGCCCGAGAATAAGAAAAATAGTTAATTCCAATAAATAAGAGTCATCACCAAAGAAAATTAAATATGATATAGGAACATAAGTTCCTTATTGACACTACGGGCAAACAATTAAGGAAATAAATATATTTAAACGAATTATGATATAATACATGTCAATGATTGAACGGTAAAAATCACTTTAAACGAATCTTGCACCATGATGATGTGTAACAGCTTTTTGCATACTGTTATACCACCTCTGAATCTTGGTATTTTCCAATATGTCCTTGAATGTTCTACACCCCTCAATACTGCTAAGTACTCCGTAAACAGCCAAATCCGCCAAATTCGGTTTATCGCCTCCCATATAAGGCGTCCCTTTTGCAGTTATGGCTCGTGTCCAGGTATTACATTCATCATACAATGACTGCCTCACATCATCTTTGAGACCATGCCTCTTTTTGAGACGTTTTCCAATCAGCCACATAGCTGCGGCTCCTACGTATATTATTAGATATCGTTCCCAGGTAGGGAAATTTCGTTCCCATTCGCCTATTTCGGAAAACCAGTTGAATGCTTGTAAAGCTTCGTCTGTAGTTCGATAGACGTTAGGAGACAGGGTGTGTACAAGGACATTATCTGCCCATTTTCGCCATTTCCTCTCTTCACTAGAATGAGAAATTATGTGTTATAAGCAAATACTGAATCCGACCGTGAAATTGGCTCTCTGCTCAGCTCGTATGAAAGTTTTTTGCATTTATTCAGACCATTGGGCGAATTATAATTTTCTAACACAGATCTGTTGAATCTTCTACACATGTTGACGACAAACTCCAATCGTTAGGTTAGATTAGTTAGTTAGGCGAGGTAAAAATATAGTTGGGTGAATCGACACTCCCTGAGGTCCGAAAAAATTTTGAAATTCTGTCCATAACGAGATCTGACCAAGTAACGAATTTGAGGCGTGTTGAAAGTATTCATTTCGGAGACCAGAAATTATAGGTATATTATTTTAAAAGCAAGAGGTTTCCAGGTTTGATTCGAAGACAAATTAGAAAATGAATACTTCAATGACGCAATAAACGACCAAGCAGCATTGAATTGCATATATTGGTGAGTTATATTTTTATATCATTACACATCATATCATGTAGGACGTGGGAAATAACCAGGAAAGTAGTTGATTTCTGTTGAATATTCAGAATAATATTAATCAGTAGAACTTTGGGGATATCGCATCGATTGTGATGGTCAACATTCGAATAGTTTCTTTGACTTCTTCTCACTTGCCTTGTGTTGTGATGTGATCTGCATAAATAAATTAATGTACTGTGAACATTCAGAATCCTGCGTTTCATGACTATGCCCTAAAATCTCAGTTATTAATGATGCGATTTTCTCAAAATTGTCATCGTGATGGTATGTTATTTTTCTAATACACAATCATCATTTAGAAAATCCCAACATTAATAACTGAGATTTAAGGGTGTAGTCATGAATAACGGGATTTTGAAATATTTTTTTAGCTCTTGGGATCTTGAAAATATGAATGGGGGGTTTTTGGGGATGATGATTCTGAATCTGATGAAAGATATTTAAAATAAGCCCAAATATCCACGCCAATGGTGAAAAAAACTGTTCACTCTGCTAAATACGTCATTGTTCTAACATACAATCACCACCGAAATTTCAAATACACACTGTATATTAAATTGTCCCATTTTTTGTATTCGTTAGGTCACCACATCGCATCCTCTCTCCCTTGAAATTGACTAAACTGTAGAAGTGACTCTTTCGTTTCAGTCTCTTTTGAAAACAGTGAATATATTTATTTATGCAGATCACAACACAGCACACCGGAAGTGAAAAGGAGTCAAATAAACTGTTCGAATGTTGAACCATCACAATCGATGCGATAATCCCAACCTCCTAGTGATTATCTAGTGAGTTATCCAGGTACTTGTCGAGGAATTTCATCTTCAACTTCTAAATCCCTTCATCGCTATGGACATAAATCGATTCACAGTACGTTCTCGGTTAACATGATACGGTGTCAACGAAATCTCTATATATTATGAGATGATATTTTACCACTATTAGTAAAAGAGATATTTTATGTATCTTGACTTTTTAATTACACTTCATAAATTATTGATACATTGACAAATCATCTCATTGGTACCAAATTATACATAATATTCAATCAACATATAACATGCCCCTCAAAAAACAATAAAACTATAGGTACTGGAACATCATTTCATAACGAAGTCTTCGAAGTTTGTAATTGGTTTCAATTGTCCGCCTCTTGAAGATCGTTTGAAATCATCTGTCTTATTGATAACAAATCCAGACCTTCCTGGAGGTGTCTCGCTATAACTGCTCACACTGGAATGGGGCATTCTAGGCGACTTAGAATGGGAGATCCTGGATGACATGGAAGGGGATATGGATGTTTCAATGGACTTAGTTCGACTAGAAGACTCTCTAGAAGACGACATGGTGGTAGCATAATTATTCTGGGAAACCTTATATTCCTTCTTGATGATTTCCCAGAAGTACCTGGAATAGGATCATCTCGTGCAGACTCCGAATTTTCTACAAGTGACTGAGGAGTGGTACTTGAGTTATTCTCATGCCTTGAAGAGTCAGGAACAGATAATGGTCCAAGATGATGATCAATAGTAGTAGTTGGCAAATATCCTATTGGTTTCTTCATAACTTTACCTGGAATCCATTTCCTAGGACTTGAATGACTACAGACTGATTATGGTTTCAGAGGTATCCGTGATTTCTCATCGATATTATATCTTCTTTATTCATCACAATATATTTTTTAAAGAATTTCCAATGTTTTATTGATATTATAGAGAGGTTTTAAATTATTGTTATGCTGCGGTAAATCACTCTTGAATCTTCATCATTTAAAATTTCCGCAGGTGAAGGAAGATCTTGTTTTGGGGTCCTATTATATACTCCATTACTCCGAAATAGGGAATCTTGCCAGATTTCATAATTTGATTCTTTATAGTCTGAATATGACGTTGTATTAACCCATTCAATTTAGGTGGAATCAATGTAGTGTGACGAATATCCATTTCTTTCATAAAATGTTTGTTGAAAAGGAATATTCTCAGATAAATTATGAACATACAAAAATGGATATATATTTATATAAAGCAAATTGAGAATTCTCATTCTCTATGTGATGAGAATATTTACTCTTTTTCAGTTAATTCAATAGAAAACAACTACTTTCCTGGCTATATGCCACGACGAACATTGAATTATATCTATTGAACACACACGATAAGAGTTTGAAAATAAAATATAAAAATTTCTGAAAATTGAGAATTTGCATTCTCCTTCAGACAAAAATATGTATATACACACATCATTCTGAATATTCAACGATGGAAACTTGTGATTTTTATAGACCTCTAATCGCAGATTCGTGATAGAGTCTCAATTCAGAATTCATTTCCACGCCCTGTATGATGAATGTCAATTTATCATACACCCAAAAGCATAAAATGTTTGTATTTGAAAGAATCAAATGGAGGTCCATTATCCGAAATGATGAAAGAAACTTTACCATGAGATTCAAATACTGATAGAAGAGCATAATTCTGGAATGAAATGCTTTATCGAGGGCTGATTCTGATTAGATCTACTATTTTTTTAACACGTTGAACAATTTGAAATGAGTTCGCGAATATGCTCATTTATACCTGTTCAAAATATTGTTTCTTGAGCTTTTCTTTGACAAGCCACAATACCCTGATGAGTTTGGTGAATTTTGTTCAACATCTCCATGCATATTTCTGGGAATGATGAGTTTATTTCCTTTGAAAATATAATCATCTATCTCATGGATTTCATCTCGGTACTGATAGTAGTGCTTAGCTATACTTTTTACTGAAGATAATTGATTGGGCCAACCATTTTTCACATAAAATTTCAGTAGACTTATTTATTCATCTTGATTTGTGTTATTTTTGAGAATATTTTCTTTCTCTCAAGTTATATGTATCACTGAGTGAATTGAAATCTCATTCAAACATTCAGTTTCCGTTACAATTTTGAGTTGTTTTTTATACAGTAAATCAGGAATGTCATGTTCATTTCCAGGAATCAATTCTTTGTAACCTTGGTGATAATGAGTCAATTGGTTTCTTCAATGAGCCAAATAAAGGTTTATGATCAATATTCACAACAAATGGACGACGATACAGATAATAGTGAAATTTTTCACAACCCAAGACAACTGCTAATAGCTCTTCTTCAATCTGAGCGTAATTTTGTTGGGCATATGTCAGGGATGATGACCAAAATGCTTGGATGATCTTGTTGAGAAATATATCCACCAATACCGATTTTACTGATATCAGTACTCAGAACCACTGGCGAATCAGTATTGAAATATGCTAGGACAGGAGCATTAGCTATTAAATTTTTCGAGCGTTGAAGCGATTTCCTCTGGTCCGTTTTCCGTCCAAGTCCAAGCTGAATCTTTGTCAAGCAGATTTCGCAGTGCATTTGTTTCTAGAGGCACATTTTTTATAAACTTATTACTCAAGAAATTCATGGTTCCTGAGAAAGTTTGCAATTCTTTAATATTTTCTGGTCTACCCATACTTTTGATTGCTTCTATTTTTCATTTTCAATCTCAATCCCACTTTCTTATACTTCATAAAAGTTATTATGTTTTTGGCGAACTGTAGTTTTTCTTTATTGAAACGTAAATTGAATTTCCTGGCTCCAACAATTTACATAATCAGACGTTGTGCTCTTCTATTGTGCTACCAAATATCAAAATATTATCTATATGAGCAATAGTACCATCAAGACCAAAAATAAGTTCGTTGATATGAACTGAAAAATTTCAGAAGCATATGAAATTCCATGTCAGCTCTTTGAAACAGTACCTTCCAAAAGGAGTAGAAAAAGTACATAATAGTGAAACTGATTCTATAGTAGGCAATCCCAATCTTTGACGGAAAACATATTTATTAAGTGGTCTAGGATCCATACACATTCTAATAGATTCATTTTGTCTTTTTATTTTCAACTATTGGATAAAGCCATTCAGTTGCTTTTTCTATCTCTACTATAACACCTTGGGTTTCTAATTTTTCTAGTTTCTTCAACTTGTTTATGTAATGCTAGGGGGACTTCTGCATTTACTAATTTGGGGAACATAGTTGCCTTGTCATATTGTACATTTATTTTCAAAAAACATACTAATCTTGTGAAAACATCTTCATAATTTTCCACGATGGAAGATGATTTTGTTTCCTGTAAATTATCGATTCTTCTTATAGATTCAATTCAAGGGTTGCTTGCAATCCTATTATAGATAGGTTCATAGTTATCTACTAGTTCATAAAATTTCAAAATTCTACCAATATTTTTTTATCCACATGCAAGCATACTGGAATCTATAATTTCAATTTCATTTTTACTATAAGCAACCGAAGATTAGCTAGAATTTGGTAGTTTTGGAGGATCCATGATTTTCTTATAAAATTTCAGTGGAATTAAATTTACTTCACTGCCAGTGTTTAATGTTGACACCACTTACATTTCTTACATATTTTCCCCACGCAGGGCATTTTGCATATTCATGACTGGTATTACACCTATAACATGTCATTTTCTCTGTCGTATATATTCCTACCTATGTTTTCTTTTTTCATGAATCTTCTATTCCTAATCATATTTATTGTCCACCTGTTCCTGACCATTTCCATTTCATGCATTGATAATTTCTAGTGATTCTTCGTCTGATCTACACATAACAATACAGGAATTATATGATAAATTTATCTGCTGCAACTTCTTCTCTTTCAGTACATCACTCTTCACTCCACATACAATTCTGTCCCTTATCAAAGATTCTTGTAGATTTCCTAAATCACAATCAGCTGCTTTCTGCTTCAATGATGTGACATATTGATCAATGGTCTGGAATTCTAGCTGATTACAAGTAAATAACACAAATCTCATGTAGGTTTCATTCTTGCATGGAGCATAATATTCTGTTAGTTCATCTAATACAACCTGAACTGTAAGATCATCACCATGTTCTGTAAATGTGAGAGTATTATGTGATGATATTTTATTACTATTAGTGAAAGAGATAATTTATATATCTTGACCTTTCGATGACAATTCATAAATTATCATTACATTGACAAATCATCTCATAGGAAATATATTATACATCATTTTTAACCAATATGTAACATATAACGATTTCAGAACTGTTCTGAAATTCATACGACGCCTGCCTTTTTAACGTATGTACTGCACTATAAATTATATAAATAACAATAGTCGAGCGAAGTAGAAGGTCTTATCAACACAATTCCTGACTCGATTTCTGATAAACACGAAATATCAAGGCGGTCAAGCGCCCTCAATCGATTATCATTACGTATTAGACTGGCACGTGGCAGGTCGCTCGCACTGCCGGGCAATCCCGAAATCGTTCAGTTGAGTTTCACCGCAGGTTTTAGTTTTAATGTCATAAATTCACTCGAATTGCTCTGAAATTTGGCGGTCATTTTCTCAGGTGCTAGACTTATTCTCTATTTATTTCGCTCCCCTACATAGATCACCTTGTATAAAACAATCACATACTTTTAGGTAGATCATATTCAAGAGAACTAGGAGAGCAGGACTTACTTGCTGTGTTTCTCATCAAATGACGGATCGTTGATAACTCAACATCAAACAATAACTATTCATATTTTCATTCTGTAGGAACCATTTCATTTGAAACAAAAATATACATGGTGTCCTTAAAACGTCTATACAAAATCTTAACAAATATTCCTGAGGTTGAAATAAGTCGATTTAAAGCAACTTACCTTAGTCTGAAATTGCTCATTTACCGAGATACAGGGTGACAAAGTTGAAAAATAAAAATATGACATGTGCACTCCAAAAAATATATACAGGGTGAGTCATGAGGAACTGTACATGCTCCTACTACGAATAGAGGCACCTGAGGGAAATACCAAATGACCATCAGAAAGTGTCTCCGCCTTTTCTAAAATAATCTATAGGGTGATTTATGGATTATGGCCAAACCTTCTTTCAATCATAACTTTCCAACAGTTCTTTCGATTCCTTTCATTTCTTCATGAATTGTTATGCTGTCACTCAGCAATCAACTGACGTATTCAGAATCGTAAAAATCCAGGACCGGTCTTGAGAAATTCTGCCAATTTGGTTCATATCGAAAATTTCACCCTGTATAAGGTTTAAGTAAACTGTGATATGGAATTTTCAAAGTTGATGAACAGGCAACCAAAATAAAGTACTTCAAATTTTCCTCACACTTTCATCGAATTTTTTAGAAAATGATCAATTTATACTACACGCCAAAACTTAGGCAACAAATGTATTAATTTCAGAATTAATACTTCGCAATGCATGAATTTCACGTATAAAAGTAAGGATAAAATTATTTCCAATTCTTCAGCTCAACAATGATCAACATTCTCCTACTTCCAGGGTTGGATTGTGTAATTTTTTGGTAGAGGGTAATAATCACCAAAAATTTCACCCTGTATATGATTTTAGTAAACTGTGACATGACATTTTTTTAAGTCGACGAACAAGCAACCATATTAAAGCATTACAAATTGTCCATACTGTTTTAATGAATTTCTTCAAATAATAAGATCAATTATTACCAAACACGAAACTTTAGCAGAAAAATGAATTAATTTTAAAATAAATACTTCTCAACACTTCAATTTCACTTATAAAAGCAAGATTGATTCCAATTCCTAATCCCAATGATAATCAACATGACTATAATTTCTAGGGTTGTATTTCTTTTCTTTGTGGAAAGTAATAATCATCCTGTATTTTGTTCTAAAATTTGTTCTATCCGTCATTCGGTATGATGTTATAGTAGGTAATGTGATGGACGAATGTCACAGCTTGAATCAGTTGAATATTCTGAGGTTTTCAATCGATTTGTAATAGAGATTCTGAGTATTTCTGAATATTCCAGATTTCAGTTGATGATCCGTCTGTTGATAGAAATTGCCTGGAAAATTTTTGATTCGGATTTTCATAATATTGCGGATTTCTAAGAAACACTACAAAAGATTTTTGGGTCCATGGAAAATTACTGAATCCAACCCTGGATATAGAAGAATGTTGATTCCCAGAGAGCTGAAGAATAGGAATTGATGTTATTCTTGCTTATATTCGTGAAATTCTAGCGTTGCGAAGTATTAATTTTCAAATTAATACATTTGTTGCCAAAGTTTCGCGCGTGTAGTAAAAATTGATCGTACTCTAAAAAATTCGATAAAACTCTGAGGAAAATTCAAAATACTTCATTCGGGTTGCCGGTTCATCAACTTTGACAATTCCATGTCACAGGTTACCAAAACCATATACAGGGTGAAATTTTTGGTGATCAATACTCTCTACTAAAAAATTACTGAATCCAACCCTGGAGATAAAAGAATGTTGATTATTGTTGAGCTGGAGAATTGTGAATAATATTATCCCTTCTTTTATTCGTGAAATTCATGCGTTGCGAAGTATTAATTTTCAAATGAATACATTTGTCGCCAAAGTTTTGCGTGTAGTCGAAATTAATCGTTTTCTAATAAATTCAATGAAAGTGTGAGGAAACTTTGAAATACTTCATTTTGGTTGCCTGTTCATAAACTTTAAAAATTCCATATCACAGTTCACTAAAACCTTATACAGGGTGAAATTTTTGATATGAACCAAATTGGCAGAATTTCTCAAGGCCGGTCCTGGATTTTTACGATTCTGAATTCGTCAGTTGATTGCTGAGCGACAGCATTATTATCCATTGAAAAATAGAAGGAATCGAAAGAACTGTTGGAAAGTTATGATTGAAAGAAGTTTTGGCCATATCCAATAAATCACCCTATAGATTATTTTAGAAGAGGCGGAGACACTTTCTGATGGTCATTTGGTGATTTCCTCAGGTGCCTCTATTCTTAGTTGGAGCATGTACAGTTCCTCATGACTCACCCTGTATAAAAATCCGTTCTGAACTGCTAATCTCGAAAACGGAGCAATTTCAGACTTGAGTAAGTTGCTTGAAGCTGAGATTTTGTACACACCATTTAGGGACACCCTGTAAATTGAACAATTACATACTTTGAGGTAAGTAGATCAAATCCAAGAGAACAAGAAGAAAAGCAGGACTTACTTGCTATATTTTTCATCAACCAACTGTGATGATTGATTACTCAACATCAAAAAATATCTATTCATAATTTCGTTTCTTTTCACACCGTCATCATCGATAAAAGTAATGGATGGAAAACATTTAGTTATATCTGGAATATCCTTGTTTGTATCTGTTAAATAAGTGGCAAGTGCAGATATTATCATGGTACTATCATTCATTGGCTGGAAATATTACCATATCAAAATTAAAAATCTAATAAACTATTATTCTCGTTACTACTTACTTGATACCCTTGATCAGTTTTAGCGACCAATATTGGAACTTTTTTGTATGGAGACCATTTAATCGACTGTCTCAAGACAGGATCGACTTCTACTATATCATATGATATTCCGTAATAATCAAGGAAAGCTCTCACTTTGCAACAGAAGGGGCATGTTTGGTACTGAAATAAGGTGAGGTCAAGTCCACTGCGATCACCTAATATTTTAACCTGCAAAAAATATATACTTACACACAAGTAATTAATCAGTTTGTTAGTCGCCCAACCATATAAGAAGAACAGTTGAACGAAATTTCGAAAATTTGGAAAGTAAATGAACAATCAATCAAGGAATTATTTATTAAATACTGTCGATAGGTTAATCGATGAGGTGTAATATTCATTTATCTGAACTTTTGGGATTTTCTTTTCCCGTCTCTATGGATAAGAATATTATTAATATTTCAATATACTTGTAGTAAGTATAAACAATATGATTTGCCCTAAAATGCCATTGCGCTCAAAATACTAATGTTTTAATTGATGAGACAAGGAGAGAAAACCCAAAAATTTGCAGAGACGAATGATTTATTGTTTCTACAATCTATAACAAGTTCGATTATAAGAAGTTTGATACATACAGTGTGTCCAAGATAAGGATGTCTATCATCGGGATCTCAGAAATCATAAGGGATACGAAGATGGTTAAATTAGAGAGAAGTTGCTCATTTTCAAGCCAAACGATATGCCGTTTAGGAAGTTTCAAAATTCCGAGTTGTTCCGGATATATATGCCTTAAAAACCGAAATTTGCCCTTCAAATAACGTTAGACGAAAATAAAAACGAAATCGGTTAATTCCAGTTTTTTCGGCATATCTGCGGAACTACTCAGAATTTCAAATCATTCTAAACGGCATATTGTTATAGGCTTGAGAATGATCAACTGCTCTCTAATTCAACCATCTTTGTTTCTCTTAAGATTTCCGAGATCCCTATGATATACATCGTTATTTTGGACACGGTGTTTCAAAAAGAGGTTTTTATGATACAAAATGTTGAAAAAAATATGTTTTTATACTTTTACATTCATGCCGAAAGTACAGGCAACAACAGGTAATGACATTTTGTGTGGATATGTTCTGGAAGCTGATACATCGCATGATTTTTTTTCCATATCTGACTCTCATAGTTACACGGTTCGTACCAAGTGATTTAAAACATTATATTTTTGAGGTGAGATTCTCAAGATCAGTAACAGCTGATGCTGAAATAAATATATAAATGAGTTTTATTAAGAACAATTACCCATTTAATCAAATTTAAAAAACAATAAAATTATTCTTGTGCTAAAGTGAGTGATTGAACAAAGATTATCAAGTTAAATATTGAGATGACTTTTACTAAACTCATAAAATATTGAATCAGTTAGAGTAAGTGTATACTCGATTCTATATTTTTCTCTCAAAAATGCATTATTCTTTTAAACGGGTGAGGATCAGCTGTTAGGTCATTCATTTAAGTGATGTTCATCTTTGTCTTGCAACTATTGACGTGTATTCACTTCTGTACCATAGACTTTTTCCTAAAGATACAGCCAAACTGTAGGTACACAGTCCAATCCTTGTATTTAGTCAAATGTATTTCAATGTTATCCTTGTGATTCATTGTTTAATTAATATGTTCAGCATTAGAAATATATTTTGGTTTTCGGTTTTCAATAAATAGGTGATAGTTTTCCATATCACTTTCTAATAATACATAGCTTTATACTAGTAAAAGTTTATCACTTCATCATTAGCGAATCAAAATATTCCGAAAACAGAACACAGTATCGAGTTTTACCAAGACTACTATTTCGGTGTAAATTTGAATGATGTTGAAATGCACATTGAATTTGGATTTGAAGATCTCTCCTCAAAAAAGTTATGTTTAAAGCTACTCGGTACGAACCGTGTAACTATAGCGTAGAGCTTCCAAAACACATCCATACACAATTTCATTACAATGTTGGCAGTACTTTCGACCTAATCGTAAAAAAATTGTAATACAATCTTTTTTTAAAACCTTGTATCTATGTAGCTGTTACGAAATTTTTTCCTAAGCAAACCATAATTATTTTGCAGTGTTCTACCTACCTAACCATGGTCGTCATCTTTTTTGAAACACCGTATAGGATTAGTCAATTAGAAGGGACTTGACTAAGGCTTTCACATTCACATGATCAACTGCGTATCATAATATGGCACTTGTGGAAATCGAGGTTTCTCATTGAATCCATAATATGGTACTCAACGAGCTCTATTCGAAAATGTGCCTAGCCTAATAGTTTCAGACATAGCTAAAATAACACCATACAAAATTTTAACGCAATACCTCACATAGGGTGTTAGTTATTCAATGCCAAATTTTGATATTTACGATTTTTGAATTCAACATGTATCAAAATCTAAGGAGTTGATATAACCGGTGAAGTAATCATTCAATAGAGGAACACATCCAATACATAGATAATACGAAGTTTCATCGTTGTAACTTCTACAGGAAGATCTCTCTAGGTCAACCCAAAATCAATGAAATTGAAGTAGAAACATTTTTTATTATGATCCGTATCTTTTTTCCAGGAAATATAAATAATAGTAACTGGATCGAGGAAATATTCCCCATACATGACAATATTCATTGTCATCTCAAATTTTCCTTCCATCTCGCCAAAATCACTATATTATTATGATTACATTAAGTCTCAGTATATCTCCTTGCAGTATTAGAAGATTGTTTGTCTGTCATTCTATTTGTGTCATATCCGACAGCTCTTTATCAATCGAGACGATTTTCAAAGTTGCTGTATGGTGAACTGTGTGAAAAACGGTTAACTTCAGTTCTCAAAACGGTCAACCTAAACTTTAGTTTTATTGATTGTTGGTTGATCTAGAAACACCTTCCTGTATAACTAACAATGATGGAATGTCTCATCAAAGTACTCTAGATGTTTCTTCATTGAATGACCACCGCACCGGTTATATCAACTCCTTAGATTTTGATACAGTGGTGATCGACAGCCTATATAAGGTATTGCGTTCAAATTTTGTCTTGAGATATTTCAGCTATGCTTGAATCGAATAGACCAGTCACTGTTCCGAAAAACAATTGCTCAATAGTCGTTTTTGAAATTTTGACCCTTTCAACAAACAAAAGTCTGAATATTTCAAATTCGTCCACATTTTCGAATAGAGCTCGTTGAGTACTATATTATGGAAGTTAGGAGGGTGTTGCGGGTTGAAATCGCACACACTGTATGTTGCTGATATTGCAGAATACCGTCGAGAATACATATCAGAATTTGAACTGAGGACTCAATGCTAATGAACGACCCATCAATCTTTGTATCAAGAGAGTTCACAGCTGAACCATGAAGAAAAGACATAGTGACAAGTCAAAACTAGCTGAACATGTCTTTACTGAAAATGGACAACATAAGACAAAGTATGGAATAACATCAAAATCATATGAAAATATAACAACTAAGAGAAAAATCGAAGAATCCGCTTACATTCTTCTGAACGGAGACAATAACATTGGTTTCTGTTCAATTATTCATATATAGCAGGGGACTCAGACTTTTAGGGACAGTGATGTACATCCAGGTGACAAAAGATCGCCAGGTACGACTACCGGTGATTAGGAGTAGCCTGCTCATAATGAAACGAAACACGTTCATGAAAATATAATAGTTACAATATACATGGTGAGTCAGAATAAGACCAAGAGACTTTGTATAGAGACTCCCAACCGCATTTTGAGGTGAAAAGTTACTATCAACGTATGTCCTAAAATGCAATATTCTGATTCTCAAGGCGCCATATTGTTTGTCAAAATTTCAATAATGACTATTAGACAATTTTTTTCCTGAAAATCAGATAGTCTATTTGATTATTCAATAGTAAATTTTAATATTTTTGCTTTTTCAATTCACCCTCTATCAACATCTGAGAAGTTGATATAACCAGCAAAGTAGTCATTCAATGGGGAAACACATCGGATACTTAGATACGAAGTTTCATCGTTGTAAGTTTTTAAGGAAGATGTCTCTAGGTCAACCAAAAATCGATAAAACTAAAATTGAGGTTCACCATTTTGAAAACACAAGAAGAGTTATTTATACACCAAGATAGTGAATAATATCAGTATTACCCTGGAACCAAGATACAGTGTGTCCCACTTACCATGCTCACCATGGGTATCTTTTTAACGGTGAGAGATACGAGGTCGGTTAAATGACACCAAATGTGGAGTTTGTCAAGGCCAACTATAATGTGAAAAAATATTTTGATAAAATCTATTCGCTTTTTTTTTATACGCAAAAAACAGATTTTGATCTTTTTCATGTCTCCTCCGTAACTTCTTTATTTATGAAAATATTCAAATAGGAATTTCACATTCTCATGGCAGTTTTTTAAAGTGATTTCGAAAAAAATATGGAATTTATACCAACTCTTCTAGAATTTGAGATATCAGCACCAACTTTAGTTTTTCAAATGTAGTTCATAGCTCACTATGACTTAGTTACAAATAACTTTTTTTTCTCTTACAGATGATATGTCGCAGTAATAGTTTCGTGTTGATAACAATGGAGTTATCGTCATTTATACAAAAACAACAAATTATTTGGAAGCCGCCATCTTGAATTTATAAATTTTAACAGGAAAATCATGATCTCCGACCTCAAAAACCCCCATTTACCAATTTTGGATGGAATCGGACATATCATCTGTAAGAGAAAAAAAAGTTATTTGTAACTAAGTCATAGTGAGCTATGACCTACATTTGAAAAACTAAAGTTGGTGCTGATATCTCAAATTCTAGAAGAGTTGGTATAAATTTCATATTTTTTTCGAAATCACTTTGAAAAACTGCCATGAGAATGTGAAATTCCTATTTGAATATTTTCATAAATAAAGAAGTTACGGAGGAGACATGAAAATGATCAAAATATGTTTTTTGCGTATAAAACAAAAACGAATAGATTTTATCGAAATATTTTTTCACATTATAGTTGGCCTTGACAAACTCCACATTTGGTGTCATTTAACCGACCTCGTATCTCTCACCGTTAAAAAGATACCCATGGTGAGCATGGTAAGTGGGACACACTGTATAAGGGGTATAAGGTCCCGTGGTAATATTATTCCTTACTACTAAGAGGGGTGCGTAGCGCGATTCCCAATTCCCAC